AGAAAGAAAGAAGGAAAAGAAAAGCCTAGCTCAGTGGCACCTGCCAGTCCTCCCAGCTCCTGGGGAGGCTGAAGTAGGAAGACTGCAGCCCAGGAATTGAGGGCCAGCCTGGGCCATGTCAACAAGACCCCATCTCAAGAAACAAAATACAAGCTAGGTGCAGTGGCTCCTGCTTGTAATCCCAGTTACTCAGGAGGCTGAGGCAGGAGGATTGCAAATTTAAGGGCAGTTGGGGCAATTTAGGGAGGCCCTGTCTCAATACGAAAAATTAAAAGGGCTGAGAATGTAGGTGAGTAGTACAGTGTGACCCTGGGTTCAATTCCCAGCAGCCCCCCAGCTCACAAAAAAAAAAAAAAAAAGAAAGAAAGAAAAGAAAAAAGAAACAAAAGGATCCTAAATTGGTCCTGAAAAGTAACCCAAAATCTCTGACCCCTCAAAAATATTTCCTGCCAGGCATGGTAGCACATGCCTGTAATCCCAGCCACTTAGGAGGCTAAGACAGGAGGATCTTGATTTCAAAGCCAGCCTCAGCAACTTAGCAAGGCCCTAAGCAACTCAGTGAGACCCTGTCTCTAAATAAAAACAAAAAGGGCTGGGATGTGGCTCAGTGGTCAAGCACCCCTGAGATCAATCTCTAGTGCATCCCCCGCCCCCACACACACACATATGGAATCAGAACCTCTGACAGCGTGTTATCCCTTGGCCAGACAGAGCTGAGGGACAAATGGCCCCTGCCCTGCCCCACGTGCCCATCCTTCCTCTGCACTAAGTACTGGGCCCACAGACATTGAGTGTGAGACCCTGGTCTAGGTTGCTTCTCGGTCTCCATCTAGGGGACAGACCTCCCAGAGCAGCCAGAACAACAGCCGTCTGYCTCCGCTCAGGGTGAGGACAAGCGTCTCACTGTCCCAACACCTGGCACCGAGAAGCACATGTCCGCTGACTTGATTCCTGAGAATCTGAATTTCACATGAGAAGGGCCGAATGGGGCTCCACCGTGGTGCACAGACACGAGGGAGAACTGGCCCAGATCTCAACTCGCTGTCGCCCACCTGTTTGGACTTGGGTAAATTATTTTACCTCTTGATATCTATTTATCCATCTATAAGATGGGAATGATTAATAGTGCCTACCTAATAGGGTTGTTGTGATGATTCCATGAATTAATACACAATTGTCTCCTCTTATCTGCTGGGGATATGCTCCAGGACCCCCGGTGACACCCCAGACTGCAGATGGTACCAAACCCTATAGATACTATATTTTTCTAAACCTTTCGACTTTGCACTTAAAGGAAGCACTTTGCAGATTCTCTGTGGCACATCCTAATTGCCAGCATCATGGATCTCAAGCTCTGCAGCCATTACTGAGTAAAATAGGGGTCACCTGAACAAAGACCCTGTGACACTATGATTCAGAAACTGTCAATCTGATGCCCAAGACAGCTACCACGTGACTAACAGGCATAGTGTACACACAGCATGGATACTCTGGAAAAACGAATGATGCACTTCCAAGATCAGGAAGTAGGAGGTGCTGCATGTCATCACATGGCTCAGAACAACACTCAGAGTAAAAMTCAAGAGCTGGGGCTGTGGCTCAGTGGTAGAGCACTTGCCTAGCATGTATGAAGTACTGGGTTCGATTCTCAGCTCAGTAGTGGAGCACTTATCTAGCATGCTCAAGGCCCTGGACTTAACCCCCAGCACTGTAGAAATAAATAAATCTCATGAATTGTTTATTTCTGGAATTTTCCATTTAATATTTTTTGGACTTTGATTGACAGCRGTTAATTGAAACCATGGAAAGTGAAGCTGCAAATAATTTTTTAATTATATTAATAATATTATGGTTGAAAGTACAAGAGACAGAGAGATTCTGATTCACATACCAAGTCTCCTCTCCACTTTCCTAGTACTGATGGGTGTATGTCCAGTGCTCAGACTGTGGGCTGGGGATCCCATACTTATGATRTCCTCACACTGAGCTTTCCTGTCAGATACAGCACTACCACCAGTAGGAGGAACTCCCAGCCCTGGCAGCTGACCAATCTTCCCTTGCCCCCATGACTTTCCTGAGCCACCATTTAGTCATAACAGGGATAGCAAGTTGACTTACAGCTTCTTCATGATTGTCTTCTCCTCCTTGTCACTGTTGGCATTGCAGGCTCTGGTAACCACAGTATCGTTTCTTCTTCTTCCCCCTGGGCCTTCTCTTGGTGCAATCAGGCCACTGAGGAAAGGGGGACAAATAAATAGATTGTTTTTTATTTTTTATCTCTGCAGCTTGAAAGTGAAARGTCTTAATAATTATTCCTATAATAGTAATATTAGGGTTGAAAGTAATTGAATCAGAGATATTTTGATTGAAATACTGAGAATCTTCTCTCCACCTTTCCAGTGTTGATGACTCTTATTTCTTTCTCTTGTCTAATGGCATTGGCTAGTATTTCAAGCTTCTGTATTTTCTAGGAATGTGACCATGTATAAATTATCTAACTTATGCCATGTTTTCCCAACCTATAAAATGAAGATAACAGTACCTACCTCATAGGATTGGGGGATTAAATTAGAAAGTATATGCTGTCTGGCATCATTTATTAATTAATACAACAAATATTTATAAACTCATCTACTGTGCCAGGAAATTATAAATACAACTGTACTTCTATATTCCCAGGTTCTACATGAGTGGATTTAACCAATCATGGATCAAAAATATAACTTTTAAAAAATTGCATCTGTCAGGTATAGTGGCACATGGTTGTAATTCTAACTACTAGGGAGGCCCAGATGGGAAAATCATAAGTTCAAGACCAGCCTTAGCAACATACTGAGAGTCCAACTCATAAAGGGGGAGAAGGGGCTGGGGATGCAGTTCAGTAGTAATACACTTCCCTACCTAGTACAAGGTCAAAAGTTCAATCCCCAGGGCTAGGGATGTGGCTCAAGGGTTAGGGTTAGGGTTAGGGTTAGGGGTAGGGGTAGGGGTAGCGCGCTCGCCTGGCATGCGTGAGGCCCAGGTTATATCCTCAGCACCACATACAAACAGAGATGTTGTGTCCACCGAAAAACTAAAAAATATTAAAAATTCTTGCTAGCCTCAAAAAAAAAAAAAAAAAAAAAAAGTTCAATCCCCAGTACTGAAAAAAGTAATCAACTCTAAGGGATGTAGCTCAGTGGTAGGCTGCAGGCTTATTAAGTGTGAGGTACTGGGTTCAATTTCTGGCAAAATATAAAATAATAATGAACTCGTACAGATTTTTTTCTTGTCATTATTCCCTAAATAATAACTATTTACCTAGCACTTACATTGCATTAGGTATTGTCAGTCATGTAGAGTTGACTTAAAGTGCACAGGAGGATATGAGGAGGGCATAAGCAAATAGTGAACCATTTAAGGGACTAGAGTATCTGAAGATTTTGGTATTCACAGGGGTCATGGAACCAAGCCCCTACAGATAGCAAGGAGAATGGTATGATCTAGACAAAACAGACAAWGTATCAGCTCTCATGCCATTTGTATTTCATTGGGGAAGGAAGAARAAAACAGTCAATAAATGAAGAAATATGTAAACTAAAAATATAGAATAGGGCCTAGGGTATGATGGTACTGCACTTGCCTAGCTTTGAGACCCTTGGTCAATCCCCAGTACCACACAAACACACAAACAGTTGAGACAGGAAGATCGTAAATTCAAGGCCAGCCTCAGCAACTTAGTGGGGTCCTAGGCAACTTAGCAAGACCGTCTCAAAATAAAAATTTTAAAAAGGGCTGGGATATAGCTCAGTGGTTAAGCATCCCTGGGTTCAATCCCTGGTACATCCCACCAAAAAAAAATGTGTATGTATGTATGTGTGTGTGTGTATATATATGTGTATATATACACACACATATACAAACACACACACACACACAAACACACACACACAGTAAGTAAGATGGTGATAAAAGCTAGATGGTTACTGATTAATCAATAAGACACTGAGGCCAGGAGAAGTCTGGCTCAAAGACAGGCAGAGCATTTCTCTGGACATCCAGCCATTCTCTCTCACTCATCCAACTGGGATTTTTGCCAGAAGCCACGTTTCCTGAAATTCACAGAAGTCCCTCTGAACAAGCCAAGAGGAGAAGGAAGGAGCAGCCCTTGGCTGCAATTTTAATTCCTGGACCTATTCCAGGACCCCCCTTAATTATATGACCCAGGAAAGTTCCCTTTTGTCTTGATGCTAATTTAAACTGGGTTCCTGTCAGTTGTGACCTAAAGAAGGTTGTTCATGATGACACGTGTCAGCATGTGAACTGCACAACGCACGGCGTCCATGTGGCATTCTGAGGGGTGCCTGATGCTAGACCACACCTTGTCCCTGAAAAATTCCTACCTGGAAGTCCTAGTCCTTCTTGGTGGTAATTGCCAATGAGGTAATTGCCAATTAGGTGTAAATGAGGTCCCAAGGGTGGGGCCCACATGATGGATTAATGTCTTTATTTTTGGTGCTTTATACTGAGCTACATCCCCAGAGCTTTAAATGTTTTATTCTGAGAAGKGCTTTGCTAAATTGCTGAGGCTAGCCTCAAACTTGCCATTCTCCTGCCTCAGTCTCCTATGTAGCTGGGATTACAGGGGTGTGTATCCTGCCTGGCTGGATGAGTGTCTTTGTGCTCTGTCTCCCGGGCCATGTGAGGACTCCTGTGAAGCCAGCTGTCTACCAGTTCAGTCCTTACCAGAAATTGACCATGCTGGCACCATGACCCTGCACTTCCACCCTCTAGGACTGCGAGAAAAGCAATTTCTGTGGTGAAAGCCCAGCAGTTGGTGGTATTTTGTTATAGCAGCTGGAGATGACTGACACATCGCTTTCAGTGTGAGTCACAGGGCAGAGTCATCCTCCCTACTCCTTTATGAAAGGGTTTTGAATAGGTGAGCTCTTATTGTTTAATGTTATTATTTTTATTTTATTTATTTTAATGTTAGGATTATTTCATAGTAGGCATCATCTAAAAACTCCCTTTTGGGGCTGGGGATGTGGCTCAAGCGGTAGCGCGCTTGCCTGGCATGCGTGCGGCCTGGGTTCAATCCTCAGCACCACATACAAACAAAGATGTTGTGTCTGTCAAAAACTAACTAACTAAATAAACAAATATTTAAAACAAAAAACAAAAAAACTCCCTTTTGGGCTAGGGGTGCAGTTCATTGATAGAGCGTGTGCTTAACATGCACAAGGCTCTGGGTTCAATCCTAGTGCCAAAAGCAAACAAATAAAAATAAAATGCCCTTTTTCAGATGGATGGGGTTGCACATGCCTGTAACTCCAACTACTTGGGGAAGCTGAGCAAGAGGATCCCAAGTTTGAGGCCATTCAGGGCAACTTAGTGAGAACCTGTCACAAAATTAAAAGGTTTGGGGATGTATGTAGCTCAGGGAGGGGTAGAGTGCCTATAGATTCTATTCCCAGTACTTAAAAGAAAAAAAAAAAAAACCCTTTTTCTTTTATCTATCGTGACATGAATAAAATGCAGTTACATCAAATAATGATTTACAGACTCTCTGGCCCTACCTCTGCTGATTAGCATGGTGGTTCTCTGCTAATCTASTCTGATGATGTCACTTGGCTGTATCCAAGGGTTGGGCACAGTGGGTATCGGTGGGCAACCTGGTCCTTTCCCTGTGACTACCCTGGACATCCTCAGCACATGGTGGTCTGAAGACGGCACTCCAAGCAGGCAAAACAGAAGCCCCAACATAAGGTGCCAGACGGCATTCCTTCTGCCCTATTCCACTGGTCACAGCAAGTCACAGGGCCAGCCCAGATTCAAGGAGAGGGAATACAGACTCCACTTCTGTGTGTGTGTGGTATAGGGGATTGAACCCAGTGTCCCCAGCATACTCTACCACTGAGCTCCATCCCCAGCCCTTTTTAAAATTTTAAGACATGGTCTGAATAAGTTGCTGAGGTTGGCCTCAAACCTTCAATCTTCCTGTCTCAGCCTCCTGCTCCTGCATTGTTGGGACCAGAGGTGTGCACCTTCACACCTGAACAGACTCCACTTCTTCCTGAGTTTCATCGATAAAGGCATGCAGGATGGGAAATACCGACGTGGCCATCTTTGGAAACAACCTACCGGATTTCTCTTTCATCTCAAATTATTGTCATTACACTGTAAGTTTGGACATGCAAATTGATGCAGTTGCTAAGAGAACATCTCAGTTGGCATTATGTTTTCTCTGGAAATTATATCACTAGTGACTAAGCAGAATCCTGTTTCTGTGTGTGACTGCACGTTTCTTGTTCTCTGGGAATCTAAACCTGGAAATAAAGGATGTCACTTTGTTCACTAACAAGCTGCTCCCAACCCTGTCAGCTTGGCAGCTTCTCTTTTTAACTACCTGTGTCTGAACTGTTTAATTAAGTGAAACGAAGGCAGCTCTTTCCACTGGATATGGTGGCACAGACCTGTAATTCCAGTAACTCTCAAGGCTGAGGCAGGAGGACTGAAAATTGGAGGTCAGCCTCAGCAATTTAGCCAGACCCTGACTCAAAATAAAAGTAAAAGCAGGTGCCATGGTGCACACCTGTAATCACAACAGCTCAGGAGGCTGAGGCAGAAGGATCATGAGTTCAAAGCCAGCCTCAGCAACTTAGCGAAACCCTGTCTTAAAATTAAAAAATGAAAGGGGCTAAGTGGTTAACTGCCCCTGAGTTCAATCCCCAGTACCAAAAAATAAAAATAAAGTAAAAAACAACTAGGGATGCAGCTCAAAGGAGAGCATCCTTGAATTCAATCCCCAGTACCAAAAAAAAAGAAAAAAAGAAAAARAAAAGAAAGAAAGAAAATCGAGAGGTTGAGAGGGGGATCACAAGTTCAAAGCCAGCCTAAGCAATGGCAAGGTGCTAAGCAACTCAGTGAGAGCCTGTCTCTAAATAAAATACAAAATAGGGCTTAGGATGTGGCTCAGTGGTCGAGTGTCTTGAGATCAATCACCGGTTCCAAAAAAAAAAGAAATGAAAAGAAAAAAAAAAAAAAACAGCCCTTTCCATTAACAAGGTCCAGCCTCTGCAGAAGAACACAATAAATTCCTGTTGGCAGAACTCATTTCTTTTGGCTTTTGCTTCTTAGAGTTCAACTTTACTGCTGCTCTTTTGCTCTTTTTACTGTGGGGTGGGTCCTTGTGCACATGAAGTAAGCGCTCTACCCCCGAGCCATACCCCAGCCCTTTGGCTGCTGTTTTTTCTCTTTATTTTGGTACTGGGAATTGAATCCAGGGGACTTTACCACCGAGCTACATCCCCAGCCCCTTTTTATTTTTTATTTAGAGACAGGGTCTCACTGTGTTGCTTAGGGCCTCCCTAAGTTGCTGAGGTTGGCTTTGAACTTCCGATCTTCCTGTTTCAACTTCCTGAGCAGCTGAGATTCTAGGCATGTGCCACCACACAAGGCTAATTTTAAATTTTGAGACAGGGTCTCAAAAGTTGCTGAGGTTGGCCTTGAACTTGTGATCCTCCTGCCCTAGACTCTTGAATTACAGGGATTACAGGTGTTTATTTATTTGTTTATGGGGGTGTGTGCTGGGTATTGAACTCGGGGCACTTGACCACTGAGCCAGCCAAATCCCCAACCCTATTTTGTATTTTATTTAGAAACAGGGTCTCCCTGAGTTACTTAGGACCTCACTAAATTGCTGCAACTGGCTTTGAACTCATGCTTCTCAGCCTTCCTCAGCCTCCTGAGCTGCTGGGACTATAGGTGTGTGCCACCAAGCCCCGCTTCCTGTTTTTTAAAAGATGATTAAAACCATCTTTAAAATGGGGTGTGGGTTAGTGGTAACGCCCGTAGTTTGTGCAAAGTGCTGCACTCTCTCCCCAGCACACACAGAAACACACAAATAATAATATCACAAGGGCTGTGTGTGGGTGTCGTACTGGGGACGGGACCCCGGGTGCTCTGCAGCTGAGCTTCACCCCCAGCCCTTTTTATTTTATTTCAAGTTGGTCTCACTAAGTTGCTAGGCTGGCCTTGCCCCTGTGATCCTCCTGCTTCAGCCTCCATGGTAGCTGGGATTACAGACATGCACCAGCACACCCAGCTTTTTATTTTTGTTTTTGATCAGGGCATGTCCTTAATTCCAAGTGTTCTGGGTCCAAAGGTAGCACGCACAGGTTGTGGTGTCAGAGCATCGGAGGCCACATCCCACTGTGACTACCCCTGGCTGCAGGACTTGAGGCAGATACCAACGACGCTGAACYTGCGCTCACCAGGGCAGCACCACTGAAGTGCAGACCTCTGTGGCAACGGCCTCCTCCCACTGTCCTGGGGCCGCTCTCCACAGTACTGCTGTAATGTTCTTTTAAACTTCAATTCAAACTTGAAGAAAAGGTATAAGATGAGGACAAGGACTTACCACAGGCCCTTCACCCAGATTTCCAACAGTCCCTCGTCCTTCTGAACCATCCAGAGTTAAACTGGAGACATCCCTTTACTCCTCAATACCAGGGTATATTTCCAAAGAATATGGAAATTCTCTTATATAACCAAGTGACTCAGTTGTCAAAATCACCACATTGATCTTTCAAACTAGTAAATCAGAACTTGTCATTCCTTTGATCGAAACTTTCCCATTATACTGACAAAACTCAACTCCTCCCTTCGGCTGATGAGCTCCCAGGCCTCCTTCCTACCATCCTCCCCGTGCATTCTGGGCTCTGCCATGTAGGCCCTGTTAAATTGCCAAGCTGGTTCCTACCTCAGGGATTTTGCACTTCCTGCTCCTATTTGCCCTGCCTGATATTTACATGGCTGACTCTGGTCACTCACCTGAGAGTGGCCTCTCTGACTATCCAACTGAAGAAAGAGCCCCCCACTCCCATTTTACTGCCTGTGATAACTTGCTTCACATTCTTTTGTGTGTGTGTGTGTGTGTGTGTGTGTGTGTGTGTGCGCACATTACCAGGGATAATTCTAGGACCAAACAGTATAACAGACAAGTGCTCCATCCCTGAGCCCCAGCCCCAGTCCTGGGCTTCCTGACTGATGACCTGTCCCCTCTACTAGATTAGCAAGGACTTTCACTTTCTCCTTCCCCAGTTTGTTCACTGCTGAATCCCCAGAACAGGCCCTGCACATAGTAGGTCTTCATTAGATTGGCTGAGTGAACATGGAACAATTCTGTGGCCAGCAAGGACCCCAGACGGGCCTGGCTGGGCAGGGGCAGACTGCGTGGCAGCAAGCCCACCTCTTGTAGCCCTGCAGCTCTTCCTGCACCACTATCAGCTGGGACTTGAGCTTGTTGCGCTCCTGCAGCACGTCCCGCAGCTCCTGCAGGGTGAAGCGTGGCCGGTTGGGATCCGTCAAGTCAACCACCATTTTGTCCGGTCCCAGGTTCACCTGTAARAAAGGATGCTACTTTAATGGTCTTCCTTATGGCCATGGATGCTCCTCTTGGGAAGGCAGGCTCTGTCCTGTAGCTCCCAGGAGCCCCAAGAGCTGAGATGGCGCCTGTTGGCAGATGGGAAAGAAGCCAAAATTCTAAGTCCTGCTCTCCAAGAAAAGATCCAGGATTCCTGGAAGGGCTGACTCCAGGGCTGGAACAGACAAAATACAAACTGAGTGAGGAATATTTCCTTATGTAAGGGATGCAGATGGATCAGAGTGACCCAGTTTGGCGAGGCAGGGTAGTGCACACTTAAGTCATCCCTATTGTTCAGGAGGATCGAAAGTTCAAGGCCAGCCCCAGGGACTCTATCTTAATAGGCACTCATATTTAAAATACCAGAATTGGGGCTGGAGTTGTGGCTCAGTGGTAGAATGCTTGCCTAGCACGTGTGAGGCYTTGGGTTCGATTCTCAGCATCACATATAAATAAATGAATAAAACAAAGGTCCATCAACACCTRAAAAATATTGTTAAAAAATAAAATAAACTCAGCCTGACTTTCCCATAGCCGTGCAAGTGACTTCCCTGGTCACCAAGGCAGTGCACSCATATTGGGGTTATCTTTACCTTTTCTATAAGTTGTACCAAAACATCCACTTATGTTCTTTAATTTGTACCATTCCTTCAAATAAAGA